TGTTTCTAAAGCAACAAGGAAACGGTACTTTCAGCGGGAGTATCTCTCTCTCTCTCCCAGGAATCTTTTTGCTAGACAAAATGGTTATTCACACACCCAGAATAGTGACTACTTAATTGTTACCTACAATGGATACTCCAGGCAGACACCACACTGTCAAGCCTAGTCTCATAAATGTACTTTTTTATTCCTTCACAGCACCTCCACATGACTGTTTAATTTGAAGCAAATATTATTTAATTAAGCATTTTTGTGATACCTTGCATAACCTCATACACAGTATTTACTGTAATTCAAGACGTGCCAGATCATTTCAGTTTATCCTGATTTGCAAAGATGGTCCCCTAAGTAATGCAAAGCAGGGAGACAGCCACTCCAACTCAGGGACATTTTAATTAAAAAGCAAAGTACTGTCATTTCAACAGAAGACAGCGTGACCTAATACAACCTGATATGCATGTCATGTATCAAATTTTAAAGTTATAACCACAGAAACCCACACAATTTAGATACGATCTGTAAATACAGAGTTGGTCAGAGCACTGGACATTTACAAAACAGGGTGTGGGTATTCATCTTGTTACTCAGCAGCATCTAGTTATTGCTGTTAATCACTGAAAACATGTTTACTTTTCAACATGAGCTGTGACACAGGGAAAGGAGGAAAGAGTTTAGTCAGGTGATTTTTCAGCCTGCAATGAGAGAAATGGTGAGGGGGAAAAAACACTAATTTGAGTTAAAAGAAATAGGTTTTTAAGCTTAACTGACCAAGTAAGATTAAGCTTAGAGCCCAAGGCAGCTGGGAACAGCGTTTGTTGCAGGCTCACCTCACAGGGTCATGACTGCAAAGGCACCTTACAAAGGGATTGCTCCAAGCTCCTTCCCAGCCAGTGCTGTGGTGCACTAAGGCATGTTGTGCTATCAGTTACAAGAGAGCTCACATCACAAAACCATCAAGCTGATCTCAGTTTAAAAAAAAAAAAAAAAGAAAACAAAACCCACAACAAAACAGAATTTCCAGAGGTTCTGTGAGTGGGTTTTACAACAAAGCACCCACAATGATGCACTGTTGGGTGCCTTAAGCAAACTCAAAACTATGTCCTGGAGGCTCACTGTACCTGATCCCTCTGCAGCAGCACTGGGGCTTGGCAAGGAATGGGTGCAGGGATGCTCCCTTGAAAATTCCTGAGGTCCATGTCAAACAACTGAGCACTGCATGATATTCCTCATTACACACTAGTGAGGAGACTGGAGGTACCCATGCGTTGAACCTCACACCCCAGGTATGTGTTCTCCTCCCTCTCACCTTGTGCCTGCTCCCAAAACTGCAGCAGACACAGCACTACAGCTGCACCTGACACAGGAGAACAAGGAGAAGAAAGCACAGCAGTGAGACCCCGCAGCCAAAGGACCTGCCCTGTCTTCACTTTTCCTTTTCATACGTGCACAAGGCTCCCATTCCTCAGCAAATGAAGCCTTGAGCATCTGCAGGCAGAGAAGTTGAGAAATCTGCACACATACCAGTCATATTTTATTCTCTTTATATAGCTCTGGGCAAGAATTTCAGCAACTGCTCATTTCTGGTATCTGAGCCTCTAGTTTCTGGCAACATGAAATGATAAAAGGCTAAGAAAGTCAATTTGGACTGATGTGATGATTTAATAATAATAATGAGAAAAACCCAACCAAGCAAATACTCCATATATTGAACACAGATAGCTAAAGGTGACCAACAGCATAGCTGTAAAAAACTATGGACACACTAAAGAAAACTAACATAAGATATTGTTGCTGAAAGTGTAAGGACATAACAATGAGGACATAAAAGAAAGGAGCCAAGCTTTCCCCACAGAGCCATGAAAGCAACAACCAACCAGAAACAGAGCAGCTATTTTGAGAAAACTGAAATCACTATGTCATGGCTGAGGTGTTAAACTAGATGACCTTTAAAGGTCTCTTTCAATTCAAATTGTTCTGTGATTCAGTTCCTGCAACAAATTCATTACATGATATAGCATGGTTCAAGTTGAGCATGTGTGTATTGCCTGTGAGAACTGTTCTGATTGTTTTAAAAGCCATCATTCAAAAGAACAAATATAAAAAAATATCACCCCCCCAAACAAACAAACAAACAAACAAATAAACAAAACCCCCACAAAACCAAAACAAATAACCAAAACAAACAAACAAAGAAAAACCAAGTAAAAAGCAAAATGGATTTTGGTAATCTGAGAGCATACTCTCTAAAGAGTCTCTAAAGACTGTTTCTTGTAAGAAGACTGACAAGTCTTTAACTTGGCTCTTCAGCATAATTGAGTCTATAGCAAAACATCACTGAAAGGAGTCCTTTGAATTTGAGAAATTTCTTTTACATAGGAAAGCAGCTTTTACCACTTCCTTTGACATACCTGTCCAATTCCTGTATAATTCATCATTTTGCCATTTTTAATCTGATTGATATCACGCTCGGCCCAACATATTCACCATACGTATAATATGTGAAAGGCCCTCCTGAAAGGCCTGAAGTGAATTATCTTTGCAATAAAAAACATCTCAGTGTCAGTTTAATGCTATGCAAACATCTCAATCAATTTTTATAGCCCTTACTCAGCACATTGTTCAATGTCAGTGCAGGATGCAGGAATCCACTATCAGCATGATGTAGACAAATTAACAGCCACTGAAGGAATGTAATCCATTTCTGCAGCTAATGATAACACCCATCAATTGAGCAAGGCACAGAATAGCCTTTAAACCTAATAAAACTTAGCAGTTTCATTTGTCTAGTTGCCAAAAAAGTAACCACAATAAACTTTCTTAAGATCTGCAAATTAGATGATAAATGTTCTATTCATGACTAATTTCACAGTAACAAATTCATTTATGCAATAAACAACAACTTTTTCTTCTACAATGAAGAATAATTATTTAAGCATTTCATTCCTTCTGTTCCAGATCTGTTTGTCAGGAACTATAAAACTCAAGAGGATCCAGAATTTAATTCTTCATGGCAAACTGTTTGCCTACCTCTACCACTTCTGCCACCCTGTCAATGCCAAAGACCTACTTTTTAAGCAAATGAGGCACAAATAATCATCTTGTACCTCACCTTCCAAAAAATATTTGAATCTATAGACTGATTTGAATGAATCAGGAAGACAGAAGGAGGAAAGGCTCTCAGATAATACACAACTTGCAGCATCTCTGGGAATGTCTTCTTGGAAAGGGACCCTGCAAAACTAGAAAAGTAAAATGCAAAAAACTGAAACATTAAATCTTGGGTCCTGTTTATCAATTAAAAACGAGATTAGTACAGTCAAAGTGACTGGATGGGGTAAGGAGTCCTAACACAGATTGCCTGCAGTGGCAAACAAAATTCTTCAACAGTCAGGGTTCTTTCCTCCCTGATGGGTCGGGTTACATCAGGAAACTATTACAGATCACTAGTCATATTTCCAAACATATCAGGCTGCCTAATAATAGACTCCATTTCCATTGCAGAAGTGTGCTACATAGCACCCAATCATTAACATTAATTCCAGCTGAATTTTTTTCAGAGTGACAATTAATTTAACATCAGTTTCATATTTAAAGAACTCAGACTGGATTGTTGGCAGGAAGTGAGACTTTAACAGATTAATCTGAAGGCACACATGCCCTGATTATATCCAGTATATCACTGCAGTTTCTTTAAGATGAGTAAAACATGGTATTACGTTTATATACACGTGGTGAAATCTGACTACAGCTGCCATACAGCACATAAAATGATCCATGTCAGATACCCAGGACTACAATTTGGAATTGGAGTTGTGTGTACGCCTCTACTGAGTACTCAATACTTTTTCCACAATCCAGGAAGAAAACCCACACAGTAGTTACAGTCAGCTGACAAATCGATGAAAAAAAAAAAAAAAGAGACAAACTAACTGCATCTTTATTTTTATCAAGTTTTAATTCAAACAAACATAAGTGAATCCTAAAAAGTCAGCAAAAACTGTTTGAAGCCAAGCTGGATTTTCCTGCCCTGGACCAGAAGAGAGAACATTCCTTGCATTAAGGTCTGCCCAACTTAGTTGTTGCATCGCTCTCGCTTAATGAGGCGTGCAAACACAGTAACTGTGCACAGCACTTTGACAATAAACTTTGCTCGTTACATGCCTGGGTTTTACCTTAAGGATTATTTATGAGCCAGAATCACATTAGAATTTGAGGCCCACAGTACTGCTGAGAACTAGCTGGGCACTTGTAGGCAACCATGCAGGATGTAACTCAGGATTAAGAACTTGTACCTCACCCAAGGCTTGCAACATGCCCCACTAAACTTTAAATCTACAGCGGGGAGCCAAAGAGCACAGGACGTGCCACCCGAGGAGAGATTTCTGTGACTGCTGCAAGAGCAGCCAGACCCATCCTTGGCATGGGAGCAGCTATGTAAGCAAAAGCTATTGCACAGGGCACACAGGGCAGTGCAGAGCTACCAGAGTCATCCTGCCTTTGCTGCAGCACCTGGAAAGGCTTCAACATCACAGTGTTCCCCCAGTCACGCCAGCACAAAGCCAGCACACACACAGGGGCAGGCTGCAGCTAGAGAGGGAGTAGGTTTCAGGGGCTCTCTCTTCACTGGCTTGTTTGGTGTTCAAGTGTTGCAACTGTTTCCACATCAGCTTTCCCTGAACCTCTTCTGTTAACCCTCCCCCACGATTTTTCTTGCTCCCTCTTACCAACTTTTCTCCTTGCTGTATCCATTCCAAAAACGACAGCAGAGATGACATTGCTGTCACATTTTCCCTTTTCTCATCAGGTCTACCTTGTTGCAAGCTCTACTATTTAGCTCTCTGCAGTAGGTTCAACCCACTAAACTGTGGCTGTGCAACAAGAGAGGCCCCCAGTACCTCCAGACCATGGGTGACTGACTTAGAAACACTCACCTGTAGGCTTCTGTGAGCACATCCCCAACTTTGATCTAAAGATTAAGAACTTTCATAACCAAGTCAGCATTTCTTTTCACGGTTTCAACAATCACATTTATTCCTTGGTTTAAAACTTTTTGGTTCAACAGTTTTATAAACAGACTTCACAAAATGTGCAATATTTATAAACACAGTTCTTAGTTGTAGTGGTAGTAAGAATCTTTACTTTCATCATAATGTTCACTTCAGTTATGCAACATAAGGTTGATTTGTTTCCCCTCTTCTCCCTCCTGCAATTGGCACTTCATTGTAAATTGCACAGACTTTAAAAAGACAAAAAGTTAATCTAAGCATGATGTTAAAAGCACCTCGCCACAGTATTACATTCTAATAAGGCAAATTTTTGTTTTGTAAAGCCTGACTGTGCAACTTGGAGACCTAGAAAAGGTGACAGAAATGCCAACCTTCTTCCATAAGGAACAGGCCTTCATTTTTGCTTCAAAGTTTTCACCCCTCCACACCATCCCCCTTAAAAAAAAGTACAGCTGATAATACAGCAGAACATACCCCTTACAGGGTAAAAGGAAATTACAGTAGACAAAGGCTGGAAACACAGTGCACAGTAGACAAAATAAGACTGTTCTTAAAAATAACATTTAAAAAAAAAAAAGAAATAAAAGAAGAAGAAGGAACTGAACAACAAGAACAAGCAACAATGGAATTTTTATAGTAGAAGAGGATTTGTGGGCTTCATAAATAAGTGGAAAATTACTAAAATACTTTGCTATATAATATAAAAAGGCGCAAAGTGTTTTCCAGTTGTCACCTAAGCGCTAGATGCAACTTTGTAGGAGTAAGTATTTGGAGGCAGCTTTGAGCTCTGGTTGGTGCAGGCATTCCAGCAGGGCAACGCTGCCAGCAGTAGGAGAAATCCACCCAGTAAGACACAAAAGCCACTGAAATAGAACGCGGTGTCGTACTCCTGCGTCCAGTCATAAAACCAGCCTGGGGGTGAGAATAAGAGAGAAGTGCATCACCGAGGAGTTAAATGTAACACAGCACTGTTAACTTAGAGAAACACCACAGAAAAATAAAATAAAATAAGGCAAACCTATAACAGTTGGACCACTTAGACATGAAACGTGCTTTTCATCAAAGCTGAAACAAGCACACAATCAGATGACCAGCTCAAGCCAAACAGGCTCTAAGTTTTGTTGAAGATTTTGATTTCACCTTTCCATTATTACTATTAGGGCCAACCAGAACTACTCACATGCAAATTAATTCTGTCTGGTCTTGACCAGCCCACGCTCAGTTTATACTATCTACCTTGACCTTACCTACAATTGGTGGTCCGAGGCTGTTTCCAAGTCCAGCGAAGAACATCAGTATCCCGTATGCGTGAGTCAGCTTCTCAATTCCCACAGTCTTTGTTGTTACATATGGAAAAATTGACCAGTTCCCAGTCAGAAAACCCAAAATCCCAGAAAGCATTGCTAATGTAAGGTAACTTTTGGCAAATGGAATTGCAAACAAGGCCAATCCTGTCATTAATAAGGTAGTTACATACAGATATAAAGTGTTAACCCACTTGAAATCGGCCAGTATTCCTAAAATAAGTTTGCCAACAGTAGTCATAATGCCAATAATGGAAATGAGGGGCATATAATAGTCATCTTCATTAATGTTTGCACTTCTTGCTACATCTTCCATGAGCAGAGAAGGAGGAAATCCACCAATATCGAAGAGCAAGATGGCAACAAAGAGAGCTGAAAATACTTTGTTCTTAAAAAGAACCATGGTTTCCCTCCAGTAGGTCAAATAGAGCTGCCACTTCCTTTTGGCAAGTTGCTTGCAGAAGTTTGTCTGTTCTACAACTTTCTTTTTATAAGTGTCTTTCTCATTTACATTTATTGAGCTCAATACATTCTTATTTAAAACGCTATCCTGTTTGCAGTCAAGCACATTGTTCACACATTTTTCATCAATGTAGCCCTTTTCAAGGATGCTTATATTTTCTTCAACAGTCTTTTCTTTTTCATGGTAAACAAAATATTGATCTGGCACTTTGTCTACACATGGTTTTTCCGGTGGAGGAGAACCTGATGACTCTAATGGTCTCATTAGGCTGCCACATGCTAATATATTTAGAGACAGAGCACCAACTATTAGCAGACAACCATCCAGTCCATATAGCTCGATAAGTTCTCTTTGTAATGCTGCATATATGAAGAGTCCAACACTTGAGCCTATAAGAGGAAAATAAGATCAGTTTTAACTGAAAAACTGAGAACATCCTTCAACACTAACAAACTTATACAATTTAGCAGCTACGAATACACTGTCACAGGAATGGTAAGTCATCTGTGCTCCTCTCTGCTCCATCCAAAGAACTGGTAAGTCATCATCCCGCTTGAAGTTACAGTTTCTTTGTTGAGTATCCACAAAAATCTGAACAATTTATTGCCATTAGCACTAACAGGCACTTTAGAAACAAGTAAGACCAAAAACATAAAAGAACTATTAAGCCATCCTTTTGCCATGCACTCACATACATGTGTCCCTTCAGGTACCATTTTGAGTTAACACAGAATTTCACACCTCAACGTTTTGCCCTTTCTCCTCCTCACTGCCACCTTTCTCCTCTAAGGCAGGAAGACATCAGGGGTTCACCAAGAGCCCTTTTAGAAAAAGCCCTTGACTGCCTGGTGTTTAAGAAGTGGGGCTCACCCGGTGGGACTTTATTCCAAAGACAGCTCTGAAGCTCTACAGGACTAAACATGCACTTGAGGAATTTGGCAATTCCAAAGGAAACACTGAAGAGTAAGGAATTACTATGAGCACAAGCATTTAAAGCAATCCCACTAATTTAAAGAAAAAGCTTTTCGTTGAAGTGAAGAGAGACCCATTGTAATCAATGGATGTCCTCCCACAAATACAGAGCATTGGTTCTTCAAGTCAATTTAAAGACAAACTTTAAAATGATTTGCTGAAGACTGTATCTAGGTTATAGTAGAACCATTTATATAGTTTGGCGCTAAACATAGGAAGAAATAATTACAAAATTCATACTTGTTTTGTTTTCCAGGTACTAAAATTAACCAGGGCTCAGTAATATCAGATTTTAAGGCAAACTACCTGGAATCCTAACAAAAGCCCCTGAAAATGATTCCAAGAAACATTTATGCAGAAGTTCCCTTATATAAATATGGTGTGGGTCTGGTATCATCTCACAACTCTGACTATACTGACCATGCCTCTCCTCACTGACAGCTACAGATCAGAGGGGAGACTCCATACAATCTGGAAAACAAGGCATGGGACAGCAGCTGTCTTTAACAGTTCCTACTTTATTATCCTTCTTTATTATCTATCCTACATTAATTCTTCTTGGTGTACAACATCACACAACCTAAAGGCCCAGAGAGAGGGTAAGAAAGACTGCTCAGTATCCTTAAAAGAATTTTCCTTGTATTATCAGAGGTTCATTTTTCTGGGATCACTTCAACATACATGGATGAAAAAAGCTGGGATAAGCCTTTGGAATACTTCAGAATTTAGTTCCTTTTTGACTGGAAAGGAAAAAAATATTACAAATGTAAGCCCAAATTTCAACTACTCCTTTAAAGGTGCAGCTAATGTGAGGTTATGGTGATCCAGTATTTATATCCTCCAATCTCCTTCTCACCTCTGATCCTGTGTAAGATGAGTGTTCCATGGAACACTTCCCCTCTTATTATCCATGGTACACAGCCCAAGGTATGCATGAGTCTGCTTTTATTTGAGTGAATATCCTTTTCTCATCTGTATGGATAACTCATGGCATACACCTGCAAGTGTAGTTACTATTTTATCTGAAGCCTGAATTTATCTCTTCATTACTAATGATGTTTCGACTCATGAAGTACTTCAGGAAGTAACTGAGAAAAATATAATCCCGTTTTTTATTGCCAAGGTAACAGTAGCTGTATCAGAGTTGAAAAGTTAGAGAGAATGATAATTAAAAGCCATACCTGTTGAAATCAGACCGAGTGCAAGGCCTCTGCGTTTGTCAAAATACTGGCAAGTGATGGTAACTGTTGCAGTGTACAAAAGGCCACATCCAAGACCTTGAGAAAGAGAGTTAGATATAAAGCAAGTTGCATCCTCTGGGAATCAGTGCCCCTCGTTATTCCTCAGGTAACACAGTAGTGTACTCTGGGTGCAGAGGTACCTCTTAACTCTGGCTCATCACCAGCCACACCAGCCTCACACTGACAGGGCGACTACACTGCTGCACTGCCCCACCTCCCTCCCCCTGAGCATCCCTGGCTGCTGAACCTGTGTGGAGCAGGCTGGGTTTGAGGTTCTGTGCTGTGTGGAGGGTTACAAGGCTTTCAGCCCAGGGGGTGGCCCCAGAACTCAGCAGAGCTGCATCCACGGGCACCGTGCCCGGTCAGCACCATGCTGGGTCCCTGCTGACCAGCGAAGTGCCCAAATTCCTGACACAGTTAATTTGATCAGCCACCCACAGCAGCCCTCTGCAGCACACAGGGGCAGGTCACCACTTGCTAGGAGAACAGCACTTTCATGCCTCTAGCACAGCATTTTAGGTTCAATCCAATTATGTGGAGAACAACATTGCTCCCTAATGATCTCTAATTTATCAAATTAGAATGAGTACATGACAGACTGCAGAGATGTTATTCCTTTAAGACTGGCATTTCCTTCATGCCTGCAGAAGACCTGCTTGATTCCAGCCCTTAGGTAAAACCTCAGCTTCTCCATCTCTTACAATTGTGTCAACAGAGGACAAACTGTTTTCAAACCTTGATGAATATGTACAGTGTTTTCATCTTTCACTACATGGTAACAGCCTGCCTGTGCAACATCCCTCCCTGCCCAAAAGTAAAGTACTCCTTGATAAATCGAGTACCAGACTACCACTGCCTCTGTGAATCTGTTTCCCATTTCATATTCATAAACCGAGACTCAAAATAACCAAGACTAAGTCTCAACATGAAGGGAAGGCATTTCTTACCAACAACTATCCCATATGAAACATATAGAAAGTATATGTTAGGTGCAAAACTGCTCATCATGAGGCCCCCGGCCACCATAAAGCCACTGAAGATAGCTACTGGTCTTGCTCCAAAAGATGACACACATATACTGCAGACAGGACCTAGAGGAAAAGCAGGAAAAACATTCCTAGTAAATACCAGCACCAGGAAAAATTTCTCAAATGTCAGTCTGTGGAAATGTTTCTTATGATAATTATTTAAATATAGAATTATATTAAATAACAATTCAGAGTACTAATTTTTACGGGGTTCTTTGAAACAGTCGGTTATAAAAACATTCAAGGTCAGGCTTGTCAGATTTGTGCACAAGGAGAAACTGATATCAAGACCATGAAAGGGTACCAGGGCTGGGAGGGAAAGAGCGAGCAAAACACTCCTTAAACATGGGATGATGGACACATACTGGACTGTAACACTGTCACTACACATCTAAGGACTTGTACAAAGGTTCTGAAAAGAATCTTCATCCGGGGATACCAAAGACAGACCATCACCCAGGCTTCAAGAAGCTCTTTTTGACAGAGCCCAAAAACTGTGCTTCAGAAAGGCACTATATACATTCATCCTGATATTACATTTATAAAATTGAAATGGAAAAACAGTAACTTCTGATCATAATCACAGTAAGAATGCCACCTGGTGCTTACAGAGAGGAAATATCTGTTGATATATAGATAAATACAAACAGTACTCTTCCCTGATTTTTGAGGAAATTAAATACCTGCTAGTCAGTATTGTACCAAATAACTCTTTACTACCTATCTTGGTTTCAGCTGTAAAACTACAGAAAATAAAAGGCACTTTGAGAACATCCAGGGCAACATTCATGAAATTTGGAAGAGGTTTCTCCCTCTCTTAACTCCCCAATATTTCTTGGTTGTTTAGTTCTTCAAAACAAGAACAAAGGAGGCAGAATTTGTACCCTGCCTCTACTCAGCCAGTTCCCTCCTCACAGAAATTGTAGAACAAGCACTTATTTTCACTTGTGTGACCTGGAATACACCTTTTAAGTAGCATGCAAGCTTGGTGCCCTGCATAAATAAGCAACCAGCAAGGGACTTGGCTTGCAAAAGACAATCTATCTGAAACCCTGCAGTTCTAAGCATTCATACATAAACTTATACATTAGCCCCATGATCCTAAACTCAGCAGCTCGGAGATTAGCAGTCAGATAAGCAGATGACCGACATTATTTCAAACAAACAAACAAACAAAACCACCTCGCCACCTCTGCATCAAAACACAGACACTCCACGCTGGATACAATCCGCAAAAGCAGAGATTTTGGAGAGTGATTTCGGAGTGTGATTTTGTGATTTCGGAGTGTGATTTCGGAGCGTGCCGTTTGTTCAGGTCAGAGCTCCCTGACTCACACGTGGCTGACATTCCCAGCTGATGGGAGGCGAGCCCAGAGAGGTGATAGGAGGTAAACACCAGTTGGAGCCAGGGATGGTGCTTGCCTAGGTTTGCAGACAGGATCGAGCAGCTGGGAATGCAGGCAAGGTTTTCCTGTGGTTACCAGCCACGGGACAAGCAGTTCTGACAGGCAGGGGCACAGATTCGTCAGCAGGTGAAATGAGCCTCAAAGACAAGGCAGGTCAGAACTCTCGCCCTACATAAGAGCTTCTGCCTCGGGAACGCAAAGGGGAGCGAGTCTGAATTGGGGCTCTTCCAGGCAAAGAGTCAGAGTTACAGGGGAATCAAGAAAATGTTCTGGAGAAGGAGGGTTTATTTGGATTTTGGAAACTATGAAAAAGGAAGATGTAAGCACTTGCTGCCACTCAAGAGTCAGCATGCTGTGGGAATGAAAGCTGGCCAGTGTAACTTGGGCAGAGTAACTTGCTGAGAACAAAAGCTGAGAGTGTTTGATTGTTGCTGATTCTTAGAATTAATTGCTAGAACTGGCAAATTAACGTTGGTATGCTTCCTAAAACCACAGGATTTAAAAATAAACAAAGGATTGACTCCGTATTATATAAGAATTTTTCTACAGTAAAAGAACATTAGGTAGTGATAACATAATTCAATTAAGCAGGGGAATTTGCCCTCTTTCTATTCTTTATTTCTGACTCACTACCTTGTTAAAACAAGCAGTATTTCCCTTCCACCTGCTCTCTGTATTTTGACACAGCTACTTTCAGAAGGTCTCTGTCCAGCCTGGGGTGGTGGTACTGGTACACACCTCACTGATCCAAGGTGAAACTGGACCACCTGACACCAAGGCAGAACAAGAGAGACACAGAGCTGAAAAACATGTCTTCATGTCCTGACAAGGACATTCTCCACTGGAACACCATCAAAAGCATCCCTGACAAGGTCCAAGGAGATGGTCTTCCAGCTTCTCCCACTTAAAAAAATTAATCCCAAAGAAGAACAAAAAGTACAAAGAGACCTTTTCACTCCAATATGGAAAACAACCTGCACAAAACTGAAGAACCTGCTCCAATAAGCTCAGTATTACTCTGCCATCTCACACAGCGAGAGATCTGGCAGCCCAGCAATGGCCCTGTTTATAAGAAGGAGCGCCAGTATAAGTATTAAAATAGTTATTATTCTTCTCTGGGTTATACTCTTCACTGGGTTGAGAAGAAAAACAGCTCCATCTTCGCCTTCATGCTGGGCACTACTACAGTCCCCTCATCACACTGCCAGAAAATAAAAGTCACAAAAGAAAACCCCCATGACAGCCAGCATCTTTGTTCTTTACCCTGCCTCTTTGCATTCCTTCCCTTTCTCCATTTCCTAAAGAGCTGGCATTTTTTTTCCACCAGGCACAGTACCTTCAGTTATTACCATGGCATTTGCACAGGAGTTCACTGTACACAAACATGTTATTCTTTACAAGTAATTGAAGCACAATGGGTTCAAGGCACTTAATTCCAGTGAAAATCCAACTTTCCCAGACTGGGACTGAGACTTGCTCTGTGAACTCCTGCCCCATGGATTTTGTTCAAAGTGGATGTTCTGAGGAATACAGGAGTCTATGTACAGCCACATAGGAAACAGCTCTTCAGGCAGCATAAGGGGTTTTATTAGCTGACTCTCTTTCAGACAGATCCTTTCTTACCGTAATGTGAACACCACAAAAATAAAACCCCAGTGGCAATCCTCAATACTAAGCATGAAAAATAGCTTTTAAGCCAGCATTTTGTTCAGTTTGCCAACAACTCCAGGGGTTAGCACTAGAATTAGAATAATATTTGAAGACACTGATAAATATTTACCTCTTTTACAAATAAAATCGCTGGGGCTTTTTCCTTTCCAAATGATGCATCTTAAAACTAGACCAAACTCTATCAAAAAAAGATACCAGCTCAGTTGATAAGAATGATAGCCAACTCTAGGAGGAAAGACTCAGCAGCCAGCACTGATCCTCTGACACGACCTGTCACAGCTCAGCAGACAGTGACACAATTATCAGGCTCTGCAGAGGAGCAGTCAAGAAGATCCCTAGACAAAATGGGAAGCAGCAGCAGAAAGAATATGGGTTTTCACAGTAGATCTTTATGCAGACAGACCAAAGAGGGAGAACACCTAGAAGGATTCATTTGTACATTGATATTTTTATTATTTTGAATAAAAGACTTTACCTTCAGTGAGACCTGGATGTGACAGTGAGTCCTTCCTGAGACATGAAAACAAACCATCAGCTGCTCACAGAGGAACTTTATAACTACCACAATCTGCTGACCTCCTGACAAGTACAAAGTTGTTTCTTTTATGGACATCAAGAACTAGCACTCTCTTCCTCAATATTTTCACATGAAGAGAAAAAAAAAACCTGCAAACCGACAGTCCCATCCTCCACTCGCTCATCTCGAGGGTCCTCCCTCCTTCATCTCATACACACACAAAACCTTTTGCTAAACAAACAATATTGGACAGCTGAGTTCTTTTCCTTATCACCTGCATTAATCTGACCCACCCTAGTGTTGGTATCTGTCCGAGCCTGTTGAAACCGTAGAGTAGAAGCAACACTCATGGACTGCACGTAAAATCCACTGGACAGAGTGCAGGAATATTTTTGCATATTAAGTTCATTTTTAAAACCTGGTTATAATAAACATAATATTCTCCAAATGTTTGTAGTCTGGGTATGAATATAGATGAGAATAAAAGCTTTTTACACCGGACAGCAACCCACACCCAAGTGATTGGAAAGACTGCTCCTTTCTGGTAAAGTTATTCTATGAACTGGGCTCCTTTTCAGAGGAATCTTTGGGGTGCCCTCTCCCCTCCACAAAAACTATGTACAGCTTCCATACTTTACAATGGGGGCTATGTATGTGTGAGGTTTTGGCCCAAAAATAAGTAGATGCTGCAAAGGCGGTTTTAGAATTGTAAAATTTTTGCTTGAAAACCCAAAATTAGGCTTTTTTAACATTTAACACAGAATTTCTCAGATCAGTAGAAACACCCCATCAAATTATCAAGACATGCCTCACAAAAGAGAGTCTTCCCTTTGTTCTTTCTCCATTAATGAAGGGAAGAAGGAATGGGAGACATTGCTGGTGTCTCCTCCTACGCCAAATACTGTGAAGTCAACTCTCAGGATAAACAGCAGTGGTGCCAATTACAGGCGCCAAGGTCTTTGTCTGTTTTACTTTTAACAAGTGTTAACATGGATCAAATTCAATTTCAGGCTCCAAATGGATGTAAAATCAGGAACACTTGGTGCAGAAGAAACACATGATCTTCAAGAAGGTACATAAATATCCTCCTCTAGCCTGTTTTAGTAGGGGAAACAAACTAAGCTTTTCCAATTTCTTCATATGCAACAAGCCCTGGAGCCAAGTGCCACATCTACCGTAGCCTGATCAAGGTTATAACACCTCACTTGGTAGAGGAGGTCTCACCTCTGCCCTGTACAATAACACTGATGCTTTTCTTTCACTGTTTTAGGCTCATTTCTTCCAGTGCGCTGTCAGGTCGTGTCACAAAAAGTCACAGCCCAAGTCATCCTGCGAAGAACAGGCCAACCAGGTCCCTGTCCCGTTCCCTTTTCCAGCTGACATTGGCCTTAGCAACACTGCCTGTGCTGTGAGCACATGGACAGAAATGGAACACCAGGAGGCCAGGAAACTCATCCCAATAAACAAGGTGCTGAACTGGGTTTCTATGTCTCCAGTCTAAGTTTAGCTCTCATGCAAGTCAGAAGTAAACATTTTAGAAAGGATACCAACGCAGCAAACATGAAAGGGCTCACCAGCACCAGGTGCTTAAAAAAAAAGTTTAAGACTACATGTACAGAGGGAAGGGGGGAGACACACAGAACCTTATTCTATGCCAGATGCCACACGTATCATCCTCTTTTTGGTGAAATTACAGTAATAACACAGCAGAGTCACTGGACCTACCTTTGTTACAGAAGCCAACTAATGAATGTGATTGCTGGTGCTATCAATGACAAAAGTCTTCCTAAGAAAATGGACACTCACTTATTTCCTGCCTGCAGCTGCAAATCCACCATAACTGCCATTCTTATTCCAGTCTGGCACGCACAGCTTCAGAAAGGTGATGTTAAGTTGAAGAGAGCTCACAGAGGAGTCAATGGCTCTCCAGAAAAGCCTTAACTAAAAGTGTTGGAGTTTTTTGTGTCAATGGCAAAAAGACTGAATCAAGGTACAGGCTTTAAAGAAAATTTAGAAGTAATTTGATTGTATTTTGTAGACGTCCATCACACTAATCCAGGGGTACTTCAAAATATACCACTTGAAAATAACATTATTCATCAGATGAAAACTAAAACTAAGCAACTCCTATCGTAAGTTTGTATACTTTCAAGGAGGAAACATTACTGAAGAAAAGTTTTGCAATGGAGAATGCACTAAGATAACAAACATGTTCTTAATCAAATGAGCATTACAGTATTTTCTGTATGCAACATGAATCGTTTTAATAGTATCGATACTTAAAAATGTCTTTGGATAACTACATCAGAGACTGGACACCAACATAAAGGTGGAGAAAGGAACAAACAACAAATGCTAGAAGAGAACGTTGCCCAGAGAAGCTGTGGCTGCTCCATCCCTGAAGTGTTCAAGGCCAGGCTGGGTGGGGCTTTGACCAACCTGGGATAGTGGGATAGTGTCCCTGCCCATGGCAGGGGGTGGAACGAAATAACCTTTAAGGTCCCTTCCAACCCAAACCATTCTATGATTCTATGATTAAACTTAGGAACAGTAAAAGGCAAGAAGACTTCTGATAGGAAGGAGGACTTTGGAATAAAGCAGTCCTGTTACATGCAATATTGCTGCTGAAATCAGCTTGTTCAGCAGGATTATTAAGTTACAGATAATACCCTTTCACATACATGAAAATATGTTAATTTAGAAAAATTCAGTTAGCCTGATCATCTACTTAACACAGGCTACAACACACAATGGCCCCACCTGGCCTATAATACTGGAACCTGCAATAGCAGAAATAAGAACAGAAGCAAGCTCTCTTTTCCTATATTTATACGGTTTTGCTCTGAAAACACATATGATATTTACCCTAGTGACTAGGTCTGAAAAAGGCCTGCTATGAAATCTACATGAAAAACTGTAGCTTGTCAAAAGCATTCTAGTTTTGGGTAGCGGTTACAACACTTACATTGTCCCTTCAACAAGTTTACTTAAAGTAGATTTGTCATTAAGGTCATATCCCAGCTTGATAAGACAGAGGGATCTTCAATTTAAGGTAAAGCTCAGAACACATATTTTGTTTTCAGCCAACTGTGATAACATCAATGCAATTAAAAGGCCCTCGCTGTACTTTTTTTTGAAGGCATTAGAAGTAGGAATGATTATTAAGCTTCCAAATGCCAAACTGGAAGAATAAAAGCACATAGACAGACACCACCTCCTCCTAACTTGCAAAATTTCATTCAATCATTCCATACCAAAATCAGCTACAACAGCACCTTTGATTTGTATTATTCAGTCACAGAAGTTTATATTTGCTGCTGTCGTGGTTTAACCCCAGCCAGCAGCCAAGACCACGCAGCTGCTCACTCTCACCAGCAGGACTGGGGAGAGAATTGGAAGGGTAAAAGCTGCAAAATACAGCAAAAGCCACACACACAAGCAAAGCAAAACAAGGAATTAATTCCCTGCTTCCCATGGGCAGCAGGTGTTCGGCCATGCCCAGGAGCACAGGGCCCCATCACACATAATGGTTACTTGGGAAGACAAACACCATCACTCCAAACATCCCCCATTCTTCACCCCACTTAATACACTGAGCTTGATGTCATATGGCCTGGAACATCCCTTTGGTCAGTTGGGGTCACCTTTCCTGGCTGTGTCTCTTCCCAGCTTCCCATGCACCCCTGGCATGGCAGCATGAGCAGCAGAAAAGGCCTTGGCTCTGGGGCTGAGGCTCTTATCGGAGCCACAGATTTCTGGTCTCCAGGGAGAGGGTTTTTCTTCACACCTTCTCTTGCAATTCCTTCCTGTCTAGTTTTTTCTTCAGTAATTACCTTGTTTATCTTTATTTTCCTCCCACTTTACTCTCTCACTCAAGTTTATTTAGGTCTTGATGCACTAATAACGGGAGTTAATGCCCTTAATACAGAAAAATAAAAAAGCATGATGGAAGAGCAGTCTACAGTGCTTTACCCATCTGCACCCTGAGACTGAATATAGTCTTCTTGTGGTTAATGATCCACCTGCCTTTGCCTGTTCTTGTTCTGCCTAATGATATAAACCCTAACAGATGTGACACCAATATTTGGCCAGTTACAGTGTCATATAAAGCAGTGGTCTTCATTCAGGTCCTTATCCGAACATCAACTTTCTTTTAAGGAGATAGTCCTCGGAATCCTGAGCTGCATTTTGTCCACTGAGTACATAATTGCTTTTGCCCATAGCAGTTGCTCTGCTGACAGGCAATTTTTTCCAGATTCAGCAAAAAGATAATAGTTCCCATGGTGAATCTCTGAAAAACAGAAGTTAGTGATTTGACCCAGTACAACATCTGTGATCAATATTAAAGCAACAAACTGGACCTACAGAATTTCAAGGTGGTGTTTTATTTCCCTAAAACCTTGCTGTTGTTCCTCAACTGACAATGTCTTATTAAAGAAAAGCTTCCAGTAAAGTTTTTTTTTAATGCTACTGCTACCCATAACTTTCCAGGTTTCAAAGGGAGTTTTTTCTCAAAGACACAGTGGAAAGGAGCCCTCACCCACCCTAAATGGCGGGTTTACCCCTAGAGCTGAAAAATTAGTAACTGATTTATTAACTGACTGTTTTTCATAAAGCACCTAAACCATTTCAGACTAACAGTTTGTTCTGATTTTAAAATACTAATGCTAATTAGTATTAAAGCCTCATTAAAAAAAAAGAAATCCCATCCACAAAATTTTCATTCCCAGAGTTTGGTTCTTCTAGTTTATTCAAATACAAAAATTTTTAATTTTTTAAGGGGAATATTTTTACTGCTCTTTTAACATTATGTTGCTTTGGTTTACGCATAGCGGAACTGTAAATGTAATTTTCTTACCTATCTTGACCCAAAACAAAAATGCAGAGTCCTCATTCTATCATGTGCAGCTGTCTTTGATACAATTCCAAAAGCACACACAGACAAAAGCATCCATTGGAAGGGTTCCAATTTAAGATAGATANGATACAATTCCAAAAGCACACACAGACAAAAGCATCCATTGGAAGGGTTCCAATTTAAGATAGATACTATTTCTACACTTACTGGCAAGCAATCCGATTCCATTTGCTAGGGATCCAACCCAAGCAGTCTTGCCTTTCCCTTCTCCGAAGGCATCCAGCCATTCTAAATACAAGACTCCCACCGCCAGCGGTGATCCATAACACAGGAACTGGGTGAAGAAGGAAACGAGAACGATCACCCAGCCCCAGCCACCATCGGGTGGTTTCTGAAATACCATCTTGTCAGAGGAGCGCAGAGGGACGGGCAGAACCTGTGCAAACAAAACCCGGACAGAGGATCAGAAACGTGACCGAGCGAGGTGTGCTGACACAGGTGAGCGGGGCAGAGAAGCACACATTCTAACAGAGGGTTATTTCAACCATCCTCCAAGAAACAGAAGCAACACAGCAATGGGAATTACAGTACCATTTGGTACTTCTACCCCTTCTGCATAATAGAGACAGTACACAAAGCATAACAAGTCGTTCATGGATCAGTACTGTATTACAGAGAAGGGAACATTTCATTTACTGAATGTTAAACAGGCTTTGTGAGGACCTCAGGCATTAATATCTGCCACAGTTCAACAAGAGAACCACATGGTCCCCAGCTGTCAATACCATGGATATCCTCAGTGAAGCACATAGGCTTAAAAGACAAGAAAACCTACAGGTATAGAACAATCCCAATTAAACAATTTAAGATTAAAAAAAAAAAAGTCAAGTATAAAAATATCAATTAATGATCAAAAAAAAAAAAGAAGAAGAAAAAAAAAGAGTAAAAAATTTCTACTTAGTTGTCATCTCAGCACAGGGCCTTGAAATTTAGCAGGGTGTTTGCCACCAGATAGTGCACTCTGGGAGGGACAGGCCAAGAGGAAGACTAGCAACAGTTTAGCACTCTGCTCTGTCAACAAAGTGAAAGTTGCATCCAAAAATCACTTTGTATATATTAGTGAAGTGTGTTCTAAACTGTGTACAGGTGTGGCTTATATGCCAAGACATGACAGCACTAAACATGCACACAAAAATCTGCTATAACCTGTTACAGTGTCTGCCCTCTGTGCAGCTGGCACACAGCACCCTTCCCCAAACTGGCAATCACTTCCTGGACTCCATAAATACCACCTTGTTCCTGTGCATTTATGGCTTTAAGTAACCTACCATCCTCACACCTTCTCAAGGCTCGTTTGTGGATACTTCTAAAACCAAATAATTTAAAAGGTTTTCCTAGCTGCATTGCTTTAGAGTTTGGATGACTCCAGTGATACAGTGAGTCCCCCTGTGCACACAACTAACCTGCCCTCCCCTCTCTACAGCGAGAAGTGAAGTTCACAAAACCTGTACCCTGTTCCTGGCTCTGTCACTAACCAGACGTATGAATCTCAAACAATTTTATTTCCTTTACCCTGAAAGATAGAAACAGATAAGATCTTACCCTGTTTTCTTCATGAGATATTCTCAAGGACCATCTTCACGCTGCAGCTTATGCACTAAGACTGCTGCAGTAACAGCTCTGCTCAGGGAGACTCCCAAGAGGCAAAGCAGAAAAATAAATGTATTGCACTGCCTTTTTGACTTACAACCCGAAGGAAGTGGAAAAAAAATTGCTGCTGTATGAAAGCAATGGTGTAAACAAGTAGGCAATAAGAGAATTTCCACTCAAGCTCCTCACACTATCCTTGGGCAGTTTTTTAGAATTTGCATGGAAAACTTACAAAAAACCTACAGTATAAAATTTTGAGGAATGATTGTGTAGAGACGTGAAAAAGACAAGTTCTAGTTTACAGATGCACTTAAGTGTTACTTTGAAGATAGGCACTTACAGATGATGACAAAAGAAGTCCTTCAGCTTCCTACAAATGTAATTTCACGTGGCAACTACCTGCAGAAAAAGAACAACAAAGCAAGTTTTCAGCCAAAGTATCACTGGAACAGTGAACACAACTCTGAAAAAATGGCAGCCTCACATTAGATTTCCTCTTTTTAATATCTTTTCAGAGGAACTTCAGAGGCAATCAAGTTATTTCAGTGGACAAGTACTGATCCCCTGACATTAATTAACAGCTGACAGCAGCCTTGAACCTCAAAGTAACAAAAACATTATCTACTAATGTGAAAAAAATTTTGACATTCTAGGACCTTTGGGAATGATTTACAGTTTTAACACACTGACTGTCCTTCAAGAGACAGTATTCCCAGTTATAAACATTATAAAGTTATTTGCTTCAGTTTGAAATGTAAGCCCTGACTTACTCCAATATCTGGTGAGTGTCTCTTATCCCAGGAGATGCAAGGGTGACAGCTGGGATAGACAGAAGTTATACCATACCATAAGGTATCCAAGTATTAAAAAGCTGCTTATAGGTACTTCCTTATAACACTAACCTTTGTACAAAAGGGGATCCCCATATTTCTACACAAAATATTTGAGCTATTTGAACGCAGTCACCAAGAGCTGACCTATGCATCTTTCCATGCACTTCCCCAGGACGTGTGGAATATAATTACTCCCTATCTTTGAGAAGAATCACAGACCTGTAGCAGGTCTTTTAACCTCCAGTTAATTCCAAGCTCTGGGAAAAGGAGCTATGCTCACTGGGCATTCTAGTGCCTCAGGAGAAGTTCATGGAGAGCTTGTGGAAGTCCTTCAATTGCCTAGTGATGTCTGAGCAAGAGAAAGTCCCAGGTTCTGCTCCCTACTCTCTGGGCAGTTCCATGTGTTTTGGATACACATAATCGCGAGATAAAATACTTAAATAAACATCCCAGGTCATAGGAACCCATTTAGGGAGCTTCCAAATCTCTAATCTTCAGCTACCCTTTGGTAAGATGACGTGTTTTAATTAGGATATAGATACTGGTCTTTTAGAAGACAAATAAGTTTTGACTTTCTTGTTGCTGTTTAATTTGTCCTTTAGCCAACATGTTGAGAAGGTATGTGCTGCTAATGAAACATTTATGTGGAACTATCTTTACAAAACCCTCGACATCTTTGAGCTGTAGACTGAGTAGCAGTCTGAGACAGCAATAAATTTGTGCTTCACTGATCTACCCTTTGTAGAACACTTCTCTAGGGCTCTCTTAAAAGCCATCACAGATGTTTCTGCATCCCCA